TTTCGGTTCCACAGTCGCACAATTTTAGAGGAAAATCTGGTGGTTATCGAATTGAACAAGGCTGAAATAACGTTTAACAAACCTCTGTATGTAGGGCAGGCAATTCTAGACCTATCGAAACTAGTCATGTACGATTTTCATTACACCTATATGCTACCAAAAATGGGTGCAGAAAGGTGTAAGCTCATGTACATGGACACAGACAGTTTTATCTACGAATTGCAATGTGAGGATGCATATGAGGAGATCATTAAAGCTGATTCCAGTAAATTTGATACTTCGGATTATCCTGAAAATAACATATATAAAATACTGCGTAAGAACAAAAAGGTGCCGGGTCTAATGAAAGATGAAAATAACGGTAAAATTATGACACATTTTGTTGGACTTCGAAGCAAAATGTATAGTTACAAGGTGCAGGGTGGGAAGGTGGTTAAAAAATCTAAAGGGGTTAAGTACAATGTTGTTAAAAATAAAATTGCATTTGAGGATTATGTTGAATGTTTGAAAGAATTTAAGGAAAAAACAGCTACACAACGCTGTATCAGGTCGTATGCACACAACGTATATTCTGTTGAACAGTCAAAAATTAGTTTAAGTCCGTATGACGACAAACGTTATTTAATTCCGAACAGTTTTGACACACTTCCGTGGGGGCATTACAGTATCTTATAATAGCGTTTTTTTTTTTGTTATAGATGAATGCCCCAACATTATCAGAGTTAGCTGTTAGAAAAATTTGCGAATCAATAACATCATCAGCAGTAGAATTCATGGAGCAGTCTCCACTACCATGGAAATTAACTACGGAAATTGTGAAACAATTTCCTTTATATAAATGGCACGCTATGATTAAAGAAGCCAAAAATGATCTTGATTCTTCATATACAGGAATTAACTTTATTAGATGTCACAAAGAAATAGATCCAAATTTAATTCACACTATATTAGGAAAATCAGATTGGGGTTATGTTTTTGAAGATTATTCTAGTTACTGTCTATGGACAAGTGGATATTGGCTGGACCAATATTACCTACACGTATGTAAAAATTGTTTATCTAAATTTAAAGAAATACATAAAACTTTAAATAAACGTTTATTTGCCTGCTATGACCATTCTCACGAGGTTCACGATGCACATGACATTATTTTGAACGTATACCAAAAAAAGTATAATTGGTGTCACAGCTGCTTTAAAAGCGTAGTGTTTGAACTAAAAGACCAGGAATCTTGCAGAGATGCCTTACATGATAGGTCTAGAAATAACATCCGAATCCGATTTGATGAATCTGATGTAGACAGCGATATTGAGTTTTAAAAAAAAAACATCACAGCAAACAAATTACAAAAAAATATATAAAAAGCGTTCATCCGTCCTCCAGTTTCTCTCTATCTATTGTACTAACATTTATATATATATTTTTTTTCAAACATGTATGTAGTACTAACATTTATATATATATATATTTTTTCAAACATGTATGTAATTAGATTTAATAAATGAATATTTATAAAAAGATGTTTTATTGATTTCGTTAGATTTTTCTAGTAAGAAGAGTTCACAACAACAACAACAACAAGATGTCCTGATAGCTTGAGTCGTCAGAGGTGTGCAACATCAGAAGCAATGTTAGTGCGTGGTTGGAGTTCAAAACTTAGCGTGTTCAAAAACAAAAAAAAAAAACACGCACACACATAATACTAACATTACTTCTGATGTTGTGGCGCGGTTCTTCGGGCTATCAAGACATCTTTTTGGTATTTTTGAACAAAGTGTGCACGTCACGTGCGTCACGTATCACGTCACGTGCGTCACGTATCACGTCACGTGCGTCACGTATCACGTCACGTGCGTCACGTGTCACGTCACGTGCGTCACGTGTCACGTCACGTACGTCACGTGTCACGTCACGTCACGTGTCACGTTACGTGACGTATATCATAATGAAACGACAGATATGCATTTTTACAAAAACTTTATTAAAATCGTTCAAGATCATTAGCGATCCTATGTCTATAGAAAAATATATGTTGTCCTAACGCTATATGTTGTAAAGTACAGCCTACGAGCTTAAATGTATACAATTTTTGAATAGCATCTGAAAACGTATAATTTTGATCATTAAAACTAGCTCGAACAATCTTAAGCGCATTATAATAATAGCTTGGAAATTCAACAGTTTCTAGCATAGACATATACGGTACTAAAAGTTCATTATTTGCTTCTAAAAGAGCGTTCACGTCCATTTCTGAGAGGTAGAAACTAATGTTGTGCTTGGTTATTTCGAGAATTTTCGTACTATCATAGATTAGTCGTCGAATTCTGCAATAGTCACCGCACTCGATTTCGACAGGATCATACTTGTCAGGAAGGTTCTTCTCCTCCTCCTGCTCCTCCGTCTCCTTCACCGTTACCACATTGAGCTGGGTGATTAATTGTTCCCACTCATAGGAACTGAAAGATAGTTTCAACCGTGATGAGTTCCACACAATTACAGCAGGAGTAAATGATCTCGCTGGGCTTAGACCGCATCCAATTTGGTATGATCCATTTGGAAACTGCGTGTACAGCAGATAATGGTCCTCGTTCTTGGCCGCTTCTTCGTACCTTTCCAGAATAGCATCCAGCTCACGGTCGTAGTTTACAGATGATTCGTGTGAGCTGCTGGTGGTGAGGTCAAACTCGCTGCAACTTGAACCACTAGCACTGGTATCCATTTTTTTTTTTTACTAGCTGCCTGACTGACTGACTGACTGACTGCAACCGACTGAGAACTCACTTTTAGCAGAAACCCCCCCACCCCATACACCTAGACGATCGCATCATTGTCAATCCAACTATTATGTTTTGCATCAAGGCCAAGCCATTTGACGTACATTTTTTTACCTTTACGACGTAAAACTTTTTCAACTAAATAAACATCTGGATTGGCTGTTTTCTGTAATTCTTCGTCATAAAAGGCTCCTTTGATCGGTGCACCTTGCATATCTTCGAGCATGTACGTTGCAGGGTTGGTAATATTAATTTTAGTAACTTTAAATAATTCCGTTGTCCAGCTTGGAACGTATCCCTTGTCGAATAGCATTTTGGTTTTGCTGATGCGTACAATGTCACCAACTTTAAACTTACGCGGGCCCGCGATTTTTAAATGAGTATATTTTCGATTTAAGATACATTTTTCGTTGGATTTATTAATTTGTGATGGTTTACATCCGATGGTTTGATGACGTGTTCCATTGTATTCATTGGTAATGCTTTGTAATATATCAATCCATTTATACGATCCCATTAAGCTAAAGTATTTGTAAAGTTTATTTTTCAACGTCCTTATGGCTCTTTCAGCAATGGCCGCTTTCTTGATGCTATATGTACTATAATGATTAATATCATGCTTCTTCATTAAAGTTTGAAATTTACTATTGTAAAATTCTTTACCTTGATCAGATTGTAGATTTTTCGGCGTACGTTCCGTATGTGCGAGGATATCCGAAAACGCACGAGTTATCTCCTCACCCGTCTTTGTCTTTAACGGTCTAGTCCACATAAACTTGGAAAAAGAATCGATTACGACGAGAATTAATTTGAAATTTTTATTTTGATGAGCATAAGGTCGCATTTCAGCCAAGTCCGTCTGCCATAAATCGTCTAAGCCTTTAATGATGGTACGTCGTCTTAGATAATTTTTTCGAGCAGGCTTGTGCAGCTCGTTAACTAGTTGTAGCTTCTCCTTGGCGTACGTCATCATGTTTTAACGCTTTAAATTGTTGTTCCATCGGCTTTATACGCTTAGCAAGATCGTCTGTTTTCAATGATATATATGATGTGCGTCCTTGCAAAAGTTGTAATTCAGAGGATAAATCAATGATATTTTTCCGTATTGGAGTCAAATCGGTATGAGACTTAATTGTAGCCAACTCCTGTTCTATTCTTGTTGTTATATTTGCAATAGAGTCATCTACATATTTTTTTGTTGCCATATGTTTACCAGAAGTAGGCGGATTTCTCGAAATAAACTCTGTTATTTGATCTGTTTTTGCTGTTATTTTTTTTAAATCAATCACTGAAGTATCTACGTATTTTTTAGTTGCCGCATCTGAATTATCTGTGGGATCTTTTATATTACACAACTTTACGTTCTTGAAGTCAACATTTCCATCAGAAGTATGGGGTAGTGTTAACTTTGGCGGTGTACGCATATACGGAAGTGTCTTTTGTTTATCAAAGCGACGTCCGAATTTATCAAGACTCATCGTGTAAATGAAAGACCAAGGAACTAGATTACTGTATTATATTAGCTTCTTTTAGCTCGTTGAGGATGGCTACTATTTCATTATCATGCGACGTATTGCCAGCTTCCTGAGATGCCATAAGGAGTTTAACCCTTTCAGATCCAATTTTTGTTTTCTGTTCTTTAAGAATATTTTTGACAAATATGGGTTTTTAGCAAGTAATATAGGAAAATATTTTAATTGGAATAAACATTTTCAAAATTTTGAAAAAATTAGTGGTGGGACAAATATAACCCAGTGGGTGTTTTAAATGGGACATATTGGTCCCAAAGGGAAAACAAAACAGGTTTTATGCGCTTCAAAGATATTACAGTTTTATTTCAAAAAACAAAAAGCATAAAGGTTTCATTACTTAAGAAGTATGGTAAAGGGCAAAACAATGTTTACATAATCCTACATTACACATTGTACAAATAGTAGTGGTTCTACGCTCCTTTTTTTGTATAGCACAACGTGCGCAGCGTCGTCTTTTTGCTGATTCCACTGGCAAATGATCCCCGACATTTTTCATAACTTTGGTTCTTTTTGATGGCCTACCATGACTGTTGCGTCGAAGCTTAACTAAAGTTTGTTTTTTCCCTTTTTCGATTAGATCTTCTGATAGAGAAAATAGAAATTCCAATAGGGGTATTTTCTTTTGGGTTCGGCGTAAGTCGTTATATATTACCCAGCTATTAACTACAGAAATCATCAGCAATCGATAAAATACCTTTTTCCACCATTTACATGATTTTCGATCCAAATTGTAAACGCCGCTCATTTGATCTGCAAGATCAACTCCACCCATTATTTCGTTATAAAATGCAATGGCGGTAGGGCATGGCACATCAACTTTTTTGCCACTTTTGTCTTTTCTCTTTACACTTGTCATGACTGTACTTTGGCAATTACTCAGCACAATGACTTCTTTCGTATCTTGCCATCTGGTTGCGAGAGAGCTTGATTGATTCGTCAAAAACTCACATTCGCCTCTGTTCATTTTTCTTTTTTCTTTAAATTTTTTGGCATATCTTTTCTCGTAAGTATGGCAGTTCCCACTGCTGGGTACTGAAGGTAGTCCATCAAATGTACTGAAGTAAAAAATCGGTCAAATGCCAATACAACATTCGGATTTCTTATGGTCTCACATAGTTTTTTGACTACTGTTTCACCAAGAGTTCCGCAGCTTTCAACATCTTCTTTGCCGCAGTATACATTTGTGTCATATGTATATCCTGTTTTAGCGTCACATCTACACCATAATTTTATGCCTCTCTTTACTGGTTTTTGGGGCATATACTGCTTCAATGACGACCTTCCCTTGAAGCCAACCATGCTTTCGTCTATGATTTGCCTCGAACTGTCAGATTGATACTTCTGAAAAGTGTATTTGAAACAGGATATGAGTTCCTGTACGTAATATATTTTACTAGAACCTTCTGGCTTTTTGGGGTCGTTAAAATAAAGCTTAGAAAGAAGAAACAAACATCTGTTCTTAGATATGGCTGATTTTATCGCTTTGTTTCCCAAAGATGGATGAGATGACCAGTAATGCCTAAGATTCGGTACTTTATTGTAGCACATAACCAATGAGCAACCGAGAGTGATCATAATTTCTCCTGCATCAGTAAGGGTAGCAGACTTGTTATTGCGATTATACATTTGAATTCTCTGGTTTGTACATTTAGCAATAAAAATAAACAGACTACGCGGAAAAAGTTTGTTGAATATTTCTAGTGGAGTAGAATTTGCGGTAATCGATGGGTCTACGGCACACTGAATTTCATCCGGAATACTGAACCGTGGTATGTGAGCATCTCTTGTCGGTAACGACCATATTACATTGCCATTCATAGCAGGAATTTCAAATTGTTCGCCTGAGTTTTCCGCAGTAATATTTCCTTCTTCTTCTTCAGTATCGCTATTGTCATTTTGAATATCTTCATCAGAACTAGAGGACGGCTTGTACGATTCGTCTGACTCTCCACTGTTATGAAATGGATCTTCTTCTGAAGATGACTCCCCAGAGGCAGTACTCAATTCATCTGGTGAAGATATTTCGTCTAAGTTCTCAGTGAAGTATTGAAGCTCAGCATCAGTCAGTTTTTTATTTTTCTTGCTCGACATGCTAAAAAACCCACTGGGATATAAATCACCCAGTCAAAAGACCCACTGGGACACATGCATCCCAGACACAAATATTGAATCAAATTATGCAAAATAAATAATCAAAAATATATAGAAATGTTGCTCTAATAGACTCTTAACTTTCCTGAAAGAATCTTTCAAAATAACTAGGCAACAACGACGAAATTTGTACAAAAACAGGACAAACAGCCGAGCACGTGCTATTTCTACGTTGTTTTCGAGTACACTGATCAGCACAAAGCATGCCGCCGCGAGTGAGAGCCTTGCATATGCTTCGGAATACCCATTAAAGACCATTCCTATGTAATACGGGATATATAAAGCACTGTGGGTATTTTAATCATACGTTGGACTTATATGTCCCATTGGGGCTGAAAGGGTTAAGTCGATCGATTAATTCATTGGGATCATCCCAGTACACGTATTCGATTGGTTCCTCGTTGTATGTCAAGTAATCACCGATACCTTTTCCTGTTGGCGGTTTTGATGTGATGATGTTGTTGTGTTGTTGTTGTTGTTGTTGAGGGAGTGGATCTTGTTAATGATCGACTAAGTGGACTACGTATTTTTGTAGATGTTGATCGTGTGACAATTGTACCTTTATTTTTCTGCACATCTTTAAAGAGAGGCTTAATAATGTGATTATATTTAAATCCTGTCGAACCTTTTAGGCGTCCAAGCGAATCTAAATGAACACCGGTACTTTGCATAGATTTTTATAGGGTTGTAAATCTGCATCTGCATAGTTTGGGTCATTATAGAATAAAAGTTGATACAGCCCAGGTGTGCCACGAAACCATGTACCTGCTAAGTTTGTCCCCTCAGGTAATATCTGTATTGGCCAGTCGCTCTATCAAATTTAATTCGGCGTTTACCTAACATCCAACCAATGTTGTCGGTATATATAGGTCCATAATTTTTATCAATTTAATCGTTTTTGTGTCCAAAAATCTTGTAAATAATTATGGCTTATTGGGGGATATTGATCTAAGTATTCTTCTATTGCTTCTTGTGAAAAATCAGCAGGACGCATTCTTCAGGTAGTGGTGGTGTTTCAGGTCTCGGCGGTATATTACCTTGTTCATCAGTTGAAGCCACGTCTTCTAAATTGAGATAGTTTGGGTTCTGTGTGAATACATCATCATCATCATCATCATCCTGTTTCAATTTTCCTCTTTTTAATAATAAATGAAGGATGCTGCTGAGTCTTAGCTATTGCTTAAGAGGTTCAGATATTGGTTTGAAAAGTTTCTAATAGATTCATCTTCTGCAGTTCGACCTAACTTTAAAGTAAGATACTTTTTACGTATAGCTCGAGCAAGTTCTGCGATCTTTCTTTATGACTAGCAACGGCAACTTGGTCCTTTGACATCATGTTACTGAATGATGGCGTACTGATAGCCTACAATTTTATGTACTTATCAAATCCTACTCTGTATCGACCATAATTAAGAGGAAAGTCTTTAACAATAACTAACGTACCGTACTTTTCTGCCCACATTCCGAACACATCTTTTTGAATTCATCAAAGTAACATCTGGAGATACATGCTCATCAAATATATGTTTTAGATTAATTTCATCCTGCTTAAATAGTACTATAATGTTACAGTTGTCTCGTATGACTGTTTTGGAATTTTTAGAGTATGTTTGGCAGAGATATGCAGCATCGATATCTTTATGACGACACATGGAGTAATACTCTCGAATTTTCTGCTGACCGTCACACGACACGTCGTCAAATATAAATATAGAGCTATTTTAGCCTTACTTGGACTTATAATTTCCTCGTTATCCTTAAATGGGAAATAGCCAACACCCTTAGCAGCGGAAATCACTTCTTGAAGCAGTTGATACTTTGGTTGATACAACGATTTTGATAAACGTAAACATTTTTAAACTAGCACCGTTTGGATGGAAAAGCAGCGCTAGCATTACGTTCGTTTTTCCACATCCGCTTGGTCCGCAGATGATAGCGCGAAACGAATTCGGTAACAATTTACCATGTTTAATATGTTGAGTTTTGCTGTAAAATCCAAGTTATCAATGGTAATGGACTGCTCTTGTTGAACAACCTTCATCGTGTGGCGTTCGAATAAGGAATGTGTAAAAGTATATATGTAGATATTGCTAACGCATCATCAACAGTTCTCTATGTTAACGTACAAGGGTGAAGGTGTTTGTAAACTCTCTGATAAATAATCTTCGATAGAACTCCACGTACCTTCGTATCAGTTCCTGGGACGTAAGTGTGCGACAGATTAGGATATTTTTTTTTTTCATTCCCACACATGTATATGTATATTTCAGCGGGGACTAAATTAAAGAAGAGGTTAGCACGAGGAGATCCTGGAAGAACCCATTGGATCGTGCTGCAAGAGACCACGATATTGCATACGCCTTATACAAAAATTTGAAAGACAGACACAAGCTGATTGGATTCTGAGAACCGAGCCTGGGAACGTGTAAAAGCACCTGACGCTTCACTAGGAGAAAAGACTGCAGCTTGGCTAACAACCACCGCAATGAAGTTAAGCGAAAATTGGGTATGGGGGCAGAAGAAATCATCTTTCGACGAGGTGTTCTCACGAAAATCACAAAGTCCTTGAAGAAAAATGCTCCCACCACCACGACATTAAAAAAGTCTGCATTGGTTGCTCTTAAAGCGGCAAGATTAGCGGTGAAGAGTGCAGGTGGAAAACATAAAGTTCGACTACCGAGAATATTCCGATCGAAGGAAATCTGGGGATTCCTACCCTTGATCCCCTTTTCGCCGGATTAAGTGCCTTGGGGGCGCTCGCAGGGGGAGCTGCAGGTGTGGCCAAAACGGTCGTTGATGCCAAGAATGCACAAAAGAAATTGGAGGAAGACCATCGCCATAACAAAGCTATGGAGTCTTTGGGCAAAGGATTGTATTTGAGAAAAAATGCTAAAGGTGGTTATGGGTTGTACCTCAAAAAAAAAAGTCAAAAAAACTAAACATCAAGCTACCCAAGAAAGCGCTGTATGATTATGAAATAAAGCAATATGCGAAGCTCTTGAACATACCTCATTTCCGAGGTGTCTTCATGCGTGACACTTTACCACGAGACGGTCCACGTAAAAGAGAATGCGCCGTCGTGAACTTAGATATTTCACAAAACACGGAACTCATTGGGTAGCTTATAAAAGATAAACAACAACGTTGAGTATTTCGATTCATTTGGTAACCTGAGCCTCCACAGGAACTGTTCGATATCTGAAAAACGCTAAAATTTTCTACAACACGATCCTTACCAAACTATAATCAAGTTAATTGGCGGACAATTGTGTTTGAAATTTCTATACAATAACAACAACAACGATGGATAATAAAACATTATCGGAATTTACATTAGAAGAGTTTGAGAAGAATATTCCGCCGCTGGAATATTTAATAAGCAATGTGAGACCTGCAGAATTATTGAGTATATGGCACAAACTGCCTGCAGAATACACATCCAATTTGATCTTCAAATACGACTTCCATGCTATGTTCACTACAACAGACCTGATTGGACAACACATTGGGATGGACCGGCTACTGCTCAAGCAAATTGTTATTTCTGTAAATTATCCATTCGAAAATAAACAAAAAAAAAAAACTTGAATAAATGCTTAGTACACAGCTATATTTTTTCATTCATCATGTCGCAGTTGTTGAGAGTCAATAGCACTACTCATATATTTTCATTTCGTCCTTCAACACCGATAGTGTTGGATCCGAAAAAAGATTATGAATTGGCGCTTAGGTCTTTTACTTCATACAATTCCATACCGAATATTGAAAAAGGAGATAAATTTTATTATCGACCGGATAGGTGGTGGTGGTGGTCAATTAAAAGTCATCGAGTTTCCGACAGGTTGTTATGAAATTACCGACATAGAAACATTTATACGAACGCAAATGAATCTGAAAATGAAGTTGCTCCTCCGGATGATTATTTTTCTCTAAACCTAACAATAATACACTGCAATGTGAAATCTTTAGCAAGTATTATAAAATAGTTTTTACAGAACCGAATAATCTTGGACATCTATTGGGATTCTCGAAAAAAGTTCTTAATCCTGGTCCAAAAGCATTCTTCTGATTTACCTGTAAACATAATAAGTATCAACCATACACTTTGTGCTAACATTACGTCGGGAGCCTTTGACGGAGACACGCCTGCACACACGATCTACGAATTTGCTGTGACAGCCGATCCTGGATACGCTATAGTCGAAACACCTGTAAATTTACTATATCTACCTGTTATACCGAAACAAGAAATAACCAACATCACAGTGTTGGCTTTAGATCAAGACGGTCGTCCTGTAAACTTTCAAGGTGAAACTAGTACTCTTGTGTTGGAGTTGAGAGCGAAGCGCAGATGGGATTAGTGATTATAAGACATAGTGGTGCTTCCAAGGCAACTTCAGTATTACCCCAAGCACCTAAGCGACGACATCTACTACAACTACATCAAATATCCTGTTTCTACGCTCACTTGGATATCATTCAACAACAACAAGAATCATGTACAAAAAGAGAAAAACTGAGGAGGCAGCAGCAGCAGCATCACATACTTCTCCGATGTTTGATCTAATCGATCTCCAGCATTCGATGAATCTATTCGCAAGGCTGAGTATAGATCTTATACGCGCGTTCATCAGGTCATTTAATTGTAATGATGTTGTGGAATTTAGCATCAATCAAGTAGATTCGTTCTTTGCAATGAACGCTTCCCTTCTATCTATCAAAGGAAAAGTTGAAATAACTGGAGGAGGAGGAGCAGGAGATGTATCTTTAGCTCCAAACTTTGGTGCCTTCCTATTTGACTCTTGCACTTACAGTGAATCCGCTAGAGAAGTTGAAACAGTACGTGATCCTGGTATTGTAAGTACTGTCCGAGCTTACGTATGTTACAGTGAGGAAGACTCAAATCATATGGCTATAGCTGGATGGAACTATCCTTCAACA